AGGAATGCAGGCTGGGTTGTCTTCTTCCATACCTATTAGAGTAGAGTTCATTCCATATTTCTCTGGTTGAGAAGACCTTCTATCTGAACCTTAAAAATTTTCCTAGACAAAATCTCCCTAGAAGAGATCCCATCTTCTGAAAAGAAGACTTCAGGCTAAAGAATTCCTCTGTTTGTTTTTCCTATGGCATCATGGAGATGGCATCCTGGATAGCATCAGGAAAACAGCTTCTAATACAGGAGGTCTATGTCTTCATAGCTTCTGCCTAAGAAATTCTTTTATCAGTATAAAGCAAAGCTGGTACTTCATTGTCAATAAGTTAATGCAGCATCTTTGCTTTGCTCTCATTCCTCCCAATATAAGAATGTGGTCAAATGTCTAAATTAACAGTTTATAAAACAATCAAACTTAGGTAGATGCACTGCTTGTGGAACTCAAGATTCCCCTAAGTTATAGATTTTGTCTTGATGTCTTCAGAAAATAAAATGCGCCCAAATCAGATATCATGAGAATTTAGCAAGAAACCAACATGTGACTCCAAAACCCAGTCAAAGCAAAATAAAGTCTCTCGAATCATAGCATATAGAATGTTTTAGGCTGGCAGGGAATTCTAGAGGTCATCTGGTCCAGCCTCTCTACACAAGCAGGGACATCTCTACCTAGGTGAGGTCACCCAAGGCACTATCAAGCCTGGCCTTGAATGACTCCAAAGTTGGGGTGTCCATTACCTCTCTGGGCAGCCCATTCCAATGATCTATTGCTCTTATACTAAATAATTTTTTTCTAATATTGAGTCTAAATTTATCCTTTCCTAGTTTAAAACCATTACTCCTTGCCCTATCATTGCAAACCCTTTTGAAACCAGGCTCCATCTTGCAACTACAGATATAATTAGCTGACAAAACAGTATCTGAGCCAGATAAAGGAGGGAGTTGTCATACATCAAAAATTCAAGTATGTGAACTGATTTGCAAACTATTTTCTAGTAACATGAGACTCAACTCAGAAAAAAAAATTCCAAAACAGATTTGTTGGAGACGGCATGAACTTCTTGAAATGAAAAGACAAAGGGGAATGTGAATATTAACTGTAATTTTTCCTATCTTTCAAGTATCACATTTCACCTTCTGAAATCATACAGAAAGATCAGTCAGAAGTACCAGCAGGACATCAAATGTATCTTTATAAGGCATCAAAGACATCAAAATGTATAATAATCTCCATATTACATTCCACACAGAACCATTATGATAAATAGGTTTTGAAAATTTTATTTCTTAAAGTTAAAGAAAAAATTGGCTGAAAATCTTTCCTTATTGTACTAATACACAGGAGTAAGCGATACCTTTTCTTATCTGGCAAATCCATCCATATAGATAATCACAGTGCCTATCATTCCAAAGCATGCTGGAATCACCACTGATCTCTGCACAAAGTTCAATTCCTTGATAATTATTGGGTTCTCCAAAGCCCCAGTTCTCATACCTCACCTATGATAGAAAAAGTTTTGTGAAGATTCTGTATACAGAAAGAAAATAATGGAGAGAGGGAAGAGACAGCATCAAACCACAGACCTACAAATTGTTCCTACAGTCAGTTTAAAAAATTAGATAAGAGGAAACCAGAATCTCCATGTGCAAACGCTGACATTGCTAATTTTTTTCAGATTGAAACTAGACTGCAGCTTTGATAACACCTGTTGTCAATCACACTTGGAGGAATATTGACATTTTTTATAGGACCTAAATTCTGTGAGATTAATATAATAACAATGGTTGGGCATGCTACATGTTGATATTAATTTAAGTAAATATCCTGTATGAGTAAAATAGCAAGACATTATTAGGACACAACAAAAATGTTGGCGTTTTTCTAAGAAAATATTTCTGTTATTCTAATTGTCCTATATAAATTCCAGTTTCAATATTCTCTACTGCAAACTCCCATCAATATATTTTGACCAACCTTGCAAGAAACACACCACATTTCCAAACCCACTTTTGTTTCTACAGTTTTGTATCTTATTCTAAAGTAAAGTGAAGCCACACTGGCATAAGACAACTGCCTTCAGATGCACGGAATGTAGGTTGTTTCAGGTAAAGATATAATTAGTAAAGAAGAGAGATACTAAAGACGGACTATTTTATTTTTTAAATCCTTGCATGTAGAAGAACGTCCTTTTATTCTACAGTGATTTAATTTTCTTATTGACTCAATACACATTTTCTTATCAAAAAACAGTATGTTTTAGTCAAAAAAAAAAATCAAGCCATGAAATTGCTATCCATAGGCTTTCCTAAAGAGAGCATGATACAGTAGAGGGTTATGATTAATCAGAAAATTGCACAAACACATACACCACACACACTTGATAAGCACAGAAAATGCAAAATAACAGCTGTGGAAGATTAAATCACTCACTGGAGATCCATCACTCCAAACAAAACCATCATCAGGATTCAAGTAATATAAGCCCATCCAGAAACGCTGGTTGTAATAGCCATTTTTCCTAAAAAAAATCCCCAAAATAATAAATGCCCCATGTGTAAGAAATTTAAACATAAACCAAAACTTAATAAGATCTTTAAAATAATTTTAATAATCTATCATTCACAACAGTTAATAAGCTACTCTAAAAGTAATCCTTAAAGCTGTTGGAAACAGTAACGATCAGGGTGGAAACTAATTAAACTGCCACTTCTAGCTGCTATCTCTATACATTAACTCCACCAAGTTGAATACTGACCAAGAAAATGTCCAGATCCAATACAAATCCTGAAAATAAGGTGGCTTAATACTTTTGTATAATAGTTCAATAGCTTCTGCTACTCTGTTTATCAGCTCTTCATTTCCCTTGTAAAGGCACTTATGATTTCCAAACATGAAGTTACTTGCACCTTAAATTAATTCTTCTCTGCAAGCAGACACAGTTTACTGACTTATCTGATTTTATTGAGTCAATCTGTGGTAGTATAGCATCTGTGAATTCTACCTCACTCTAAGTAGGTATTGGTGATTCTAGCACGATTGTAGCACTTTGCAAGGCTGCTGTGCTTCAGTCTTGCTTCTTAGTTAGATGGCGATGTACAAGCTCATTAAGCCCAGCCTATTCAGGTTGTATTGCCAGTGGTACCTTTTAAAGGGTATTTGATCTGATTCAGAGAATGAACCTGCTTTTTACAGTTCAGGGACTGATTAACCTTATTTACATTCCCTGTGTAGGAAAATATGAATCTGAGTTGCTTCTGCTTTCTGACTAGTTCATAAAAATGACAAGCAGCATATTGACCAGATTTACATCAGAACTGTTATCCTATTTGTACACTTGCTTATGTGAAAAAAAAACCTGGCATCTGTAGTGATTTTATTATAATTTTATAATATTCCTAAATCTACAGTAAATATTTTTACATCAGATGATAAATATTGCATCAACTGGGTATCTTGCCAATCTCATTTTAGCATTAGCTTCTAGGGTGATTGACAGTAGTCATACAACTCCTGCTTTTTCATCAACTTTTTTTGCTGTGTGTTTGATAAAAGTAACAAATCTAGACTGGCCTATACTGAAGTAAAAACATATACCTAAAATTAAATATTTGAGATAGATCAAAAGGCTAACTGAAGCAAATGGATGACCACCCTACAGATACTCACGCAATAGAATGCCATATCACATATTGTTCTTCTTTACCATTAATGGAGGCCAGGTCTCCTCCTACAGCTCGACAAAACTCTTGAGATTCAAGCCATGTTTTCTTCTGCTCTCCTCTTGCAAAAGGCTAAAGAGAACATTTTCCAATCAGTGATCATACAGATCACAAGATCAAGAAACATCAGCTACCCAAAAGCAATTCATTAGCCATTAACTTGTTCTGTGGGGATTACAGAAACTTTGAACAGAGGGCTTTTGAGTGATCACCTCTGGAAAACGTGGGCTTAGTGTATGTGTCTTTCAACCAAGTTAGCAAACTGCATTACTGACAGCAGTACCTGCTGCAAGACAACAACCAGGAGAAAGGCACTTTTAATCTTAAAGAACGTGAAATTCAGTTGTAAAAGAATGGGAAATACCCGAAGATCAGAAAAAAACATGAGCATTTCAATAGAAGGCAATAAGATCTCTACATAATCTGTAACCTTATGAAACACTAAGACATACATATACCAGTTTTTATATGTACCATATACCATTTTATACATGTATACCATGTACATGCAGCAAACAGAAACTACCTTCGTGCAGAAATAAGCAAGATACTTACTTTGAAACAGAAGCTAATACGACTGTTTGAGTCCCAGCCTTCTGGACACTGGGGAAGAGGAGTTGTTGTAGGGACAGGTGGAAGTGTCACTCCCTCTGCCCACACTTTGCACAGGAACTTGGCCTTTTCTTCACATTTTATTACATCCCATAATCCACCCGTAATTCCAGTCCTCATGGCAACACAGCCTGGCTTTCTTCCTGGTTGTAAACAGGAATGCACAAAAGCAACATTTAGGAGATCATAAGAATTTAAAAAACTTCATATTATCTCCTGATGGAAATTAAGTCTTTGTACAGAGTAAAAAATATTTCTAATGTTAGAGTCCAGAGGAGGGCCACAAAAATCATCAGAGAACTGGGACATTCCTCCTGTGAAGAAAGGCTGAGGGAGTGTGGTTGCTCAGCCTGGAGAAGAGAAGGCTCCAGGGAGACCTTATTGTGCTCTTTCAGTATATAATGGGGGCTTATAAGGAAGATGGAGAAAGACTTTTTACCAGGGCCTCTAGCAGCAGGACAAGGGACAAGGGTTTTAAAAGGAAAGGAAGTAGATTTAGATTGGACATAATAAAGAAATCTTTTATGTTGAGGGCAGTGAGACACTGAAACAGGTTGCACAGAGAAGTTGTAGATGCCTCATCACTGGAAATATACAAGGTCAGCTAAGAGAGGGCTTTGAGCCAGCTGATCTAGTGCAAGATGTCCCTGCCTATGGCAGGCTAGATCATCTTTAAATGTCTCTTGCAACCCAAAACATCCTAGGAATCTATTCTTCTAATTCACAAAGGGAAAAAAAACAAACAAAATGAAAAAAACAAATGCAACAACAGCCACCAAAAAAAAAAAAAAAAAGAAGAAAAGCAAGCAAAAAAAAAATACGTGGTTCATCCACATCTGGGATAAGTGTCTGACTCCAGCAACATCATAACCTGCCATCCAAAAAATTCTCCCCTAAAAGGATTTGATTAAAGGTAGTTTCTCAAATTTGTCTAATTTGATTATGATTTTCAAAAATGAACTTGCTATTTGTAGGCTTGGTGTGTGCTTCATGGTCTACATAGTCTTACTACTCCACCTGATACATTCAGTCAGCATCTAGGCACTGGAAATAAAGAGAAATAGAGGATCTCCTGAAAGGCAAATGCAATGTGACAGAATATTCAAGGCTGGCAATCATCCTCCTTCTAATGTGATCACATCAGACAGAAAAAATTAGCAATGTTTTCATAAAACAAATCTTAGTAAATAAGGAAATCACAATTAATCTAGCAAAGATATTAGCTAAAAAAGGTTTACACACATATCTTCCCTTGGTCCTCTTGTTCTTTGTTACAATCCCATTTTCTCTAGGACCAGAGTTGCTTCATGCATGCTGTGATCTGACACAGCTCAAAACATACAGTGAGCAAGTGTACTAAGAGATATGACTGAACAGGCAGGATTTGCAAACAGGTCACAATAGGCCTGCAGAGGCTACTCTTCCATAGTACAGACACAGACTTTCCCAGAGCGGATACAAAGCAGAAACATGATCTTAACTTAAAACTTCTTCCCAAGCTCACGTTGAAAACTCATTTCTGCAGTAAGCAGGAAGTTGGGAACAGCACTGCATGCTTCTGAGAGCAATCAGTCATTATACCATCAGGCAAGGGCTAAGGAATTAAGTAAAAAAGTTAAAATAATGAGCAATGTGTTTGGAGCACTGGACTCATTAAATAGTATAGAGCCATACCTACCAGGCATTTCAGAATTCCAGTGTGTAAATAAGACAGATTCACCATTAGCCCACTTGAACGTTCCCTTTTCTTCTGTATCTGAAAGTCCAATCCAAAAGTATCTTTCTGTTCTCAGCCCAACCAGGCTAGTCAGATAGGCTTGTTCATATCTGTTCAAAAGAATACAACCTTTAAATTAATGCTGTTAAATTTATTTTTTAAAGTTGTAAAAGGCTTGTTATTTTCTCAGAATTACTGCTGTGCTTTCCTGAAAGCATAGCTTGGATGGGTTTGCTTGAACAAAGCACATAACAAAACCTTACATAATAAATATTTTCTAAGCTTCAATAACAGAGTATTCTGTCTTCCCTTTGGATGTCCAGTAAAGAAACTGACATAACTAGAGTCTGACATGAAATGGGTAGGAAAGAAGAAAACTGACAGGACTTATGTGTTACAGGACTGTATTTTTTGAGAATTTCTAGTACCTTTGCATTTTAATGACTTCTTGTTTCAGGCAAATCCAAACCTGGAATGGGAATCTCAGCATTATGGAATAAATATACATAAGTAGAGGCTAGAGTAGTGTGAGCAACACTGCAAATTAGATCCAATGATCATGCAAGAAAAGTTATGTTTTGGAAAGAAATCTACATAGAGGTATAGCCTGTCATAGGTCGTCATGGTGTTTTAAAAAACAGCTCTTAAAAAATCAAAGTAAATAAAAGAAGTCTTCCCTTAACAAAGTGTAGTCTGAAGACCACGTTAACGTTAAACCATTTTTATGGCATCTGCAGTGCTACCTATATTCAGAGAGCTACCATTTGTGACAGCTAAAGCTTTCATATTAGGACATATCCGTTAAGATTACACAGAAACAAATAAGGCAGAGTGTAAAGCATTGAGACAACTGCAAGCAAAATACACTTTGTTTCTTAACCCTGGCTTTCATTTTCCCAATAGTCCACATTCAATAATGTGAACCAGTTATTCAGAAATTTAGCACACACTGAACCCTGGCTGAATTGTGATGGATTTTCAGGTACCAAGCAGTTCTATTGTTTTTTTTTTTCTTATGTCATATTTTTAAAAGTAGCTTAATTCTGAGAAGACCAGAAAGGGGAAAGTTATATCCTTTTGCTCTTTTGAACTACTTTTTGAAAGGAATTCAGAGCCATATTTCTTCATTTAATAATCACAATTGGATTATTCATCACTCCGTCAAGTAAAATTCATCCTCTAGCCACTATAATTAAGGACATGTAAAACTTTTTTTTTTTCTTGACACAACCATTTATATCAATACTGATTTCACAGCCATCTCCTATTTTTGCTTTAATCTGAATTCCTAGATTTGAATATACATGCAAAAACTGTGACCTTTTTTTACTTACAGCTAGCAGTCCTATCAAGCAAGATTTTTGTCCAGATCAGTCTTTATTTTGTTATTCAGACAACATGAGATGTTAAAATCTCATGTGATCCCCTCATGCAAGGAGACTTTTACATACCTGTCTCCAATGGTTGCTAAAAATGATTGATGCTTTCCACAGGTTTGATTTGCGTGAGAAAATGATACAAATGTATTTCCAATGAAGTAACAATAAAACCCATGTCTTTTCCAACCCTGTCAAAATAAATATTGAGTGATTGAATATGCTGCAGGTTTTCTAAATTTCTTCTAAAAAAAAAAAAAAAAAGAGAGAAAAGGGGGAAAGGGGAAAAAGGGAAAAAGAAGAAGAAGAAAATAAAAAAAAAAAAGACAAAAAAAAGAGAAGAAACAACAAACCAACACTTATTTATTCTACTGTCAGCTAAACATTAAATAAAGGGACTGAAGTGAAAAGTCAGACTAGAAACAGGCAGGACCAAAGCCTTTTAAAACTTTGTTTTGTAAAATATTTTTACACATATAATGAAATTTAATCAGTGCATTTCACTTCTAAAGGCCAGAAAGACTTTACTGTGCACCATTAGTGCTCAGTGTAGGATTATAACTAGCACATAGGCATAGTGCAATCATTAGAATGGTCTTGAGAAGCAAATTTCAGCTTGGCTTTTGAGAAAGGGAATGATGCCTCACACAACTTTGTTTCTCATTAATTGATGTTAGCACTCATTTCTAATGTTTTGTCGTTTAAATGTCATTAGCTCAGGGATATGCTCACAGGGGAAGAGTTTGTTGTGACCAGCCCCAATTCATACAGATTTTGTCTGTTACTTTTCACTTTCTCACCCATGAGAGGCATTTTCTACAGGCATGAACCTAGTTCTCTAGGCAAGGATAACATCCATAAGTATTAGGACACTTTTATGTTCTCCAACAGTTGAATATTTGCAAGTTTCCCAGGCACTCTTGTACAAATACCAGGAATAAACATCAACAACTTCCTCTGCAGCTATGTAAAGCAGACTTGGGAGAAAAGACAGTTTCTCCATGGAAGACAAAAATCCAGTAAGATTCCCAACAACATAATGAAATACAGTAGGCTCTTCAGAATTACTGAGTATTATGTTACCAGAAGGCAAGCTTTACCAAATAAACAATGGATCCACTGGCAGTTCAGAAGGAGCACAATGGATTAATTTCACTCAGGCACTTGTAACAAATATTTCAAAGCAGAGAGCACTGGCAGAGACCTCAGCAAAGCCCTGAGAACAGTTTGTAGACAAGCACACCCTTTCTACTGTGAATTACTTGAAGAAAACTGTAGGCAGTGCTGAAGAGCAACTGCTGGTACAGGCAAGTTCCTTAGAAAGGTTTGAATCAAGGAAAAATGGCCTGCTGCAGGGACTATAGGTTTGATTTTTAGTTAAGTTCTGGGAAAAGAAAGGGAGCATCAAGAAGTAAATGACAGAGCCTAGATTTATTCCTATGTATCACCTATCCCATCTGCCATAGAAACGAGAAGTCCAACTGTTCTGAAGATGACAACACAGAACTCATTTTTCCTGTTTTATTTGTCACCTAGTTGGCATTTTCTTCTCTTAATCATTCCTAGTAGTCTGTGCAGATCAAATAGCTTTTTCTTTACTTACTCTCTGGCAGCCCATGTCAATAGTTTCCTCTTCTGTAGGAGCTTCTGACATGGGTTTCCTTTTACATATGTAGCCAATTCTCTTTTCACAAGAATGGTCTGCCCAAAGTCCATCCTGAACATATGAACAGAACATCAGTCAACATTTAGTCTTCAGAGGTGTTTTATGCTCTTAGGCATTTAATTATTTGTTTGCTAGCTTTAAAAGAAGCATAACCTGCATTTAAGTTCAGTACTTAACTCCAACCTCATTCCAACCACACTTCTAATGAGGCTGATTCACCATTGACTTACACCTTCTTTTATTATTTACCTTTCTGAGGAGTGAATCCTTGGAGGTGACAGCAATACATGACCTTTACAAAGACTATTGATATAATTAACATGCAGGAGGAAAGGAAGATGTCATCTCTCCCTGCAGAAATCCAGCTGACACAGAAAAAAGGACTACATTCTTTAGTATATGTATACTAATAATTTATTATATTAATAATTTATTTGCAACTTTGATGATGCAAAAACTCCCTTTCAAGGTTAGAACTGACATTGTTACTCTGCATACTACAGGTTCTCAGAATAAGCAATGATATCCTGTGGGACCTGTACTGAAAATAAGGAATTTCACACCATGTTCGTGCTACATTTTACGTATCTTTTGGTTTAACAGATGAACTATGGTACTGGGAGAAGAAGACAACCCTCTGCAGAAAGCACTCTCTCACCTGTGGCTTAGAGACTCCACTTTTGTAGAAGTAAAATCCTAACAGTTAGTGCCAATCTTTTTTTTTTTGTCTTTCTTTTTTTTCCCCCTCCAGAAATATAAAATAATTATTATGGTAATATACAGCCCCTTTTGCCACAAAATAAAAAGTCCTCAAGAGCCTGGACAAACCCTGCTTCCAGGAAAAGCTCTCCCAAAGCTCCAAACTACTTCCTACAACAGTGAAGAACTCTAGGATGTTGAGCTCATGCTTGTATCTTCTCTGTCCTATGCTGACCACAAGGCAAGCCTATTGGTGGCTGTGTCATCTTCTACTATTTCTTTCTCAGTTTCACTTGGCTGGTAGGCATTTCAAATAATCACCCAAAACTCTGACCTTCTCAGCCTGGAAGAAATCAACACAACTTTCACAACCTTAGACTTCTTCAACACTGGAAAACTTAGCCTGATGCTTTGGCCTTCTAGGACCCAAAGGAGATCCTTTGTCGTTTCCATAACTGTGTCTCCACTGGGAAATTCATGCAGTAATTTCTAGGGACTTCTTACCATGTCTTATGAGTTGCCTTTTGCAAATATCTCTCTGTTCTCCTACTTCCTCTGTAACTAAACCAAAACCCTTCCTTCAAAAAGGTGGTGGTGTCATTGAAAGGGGCAACTTTTGTTCCATAAAAATAAATTATTCAAATTACTTCAGCCAAGGACTGAACAACACAAAATAATCAGCAATGGAACCATAAATGTACTTAGGTAGACAAACTTCAACAAAAAACAGGGAAAGTCAACTTACAATTATAGTTTGGTCAGTTGATGACTGATCACAAGGGATACTGGGCTAGTGCAACTTACATGGAATCTGAAGTTACTTTTCACACTAAGAGCAACTAGTTAACAGATACATATTTTGAAAGAGTTCAGAGGAGGCTACAATAAAATAAAATTTAAAAAAAGTCCATACAAAGCCACATAAATGAAAAAGCTGTATGTAGCTAAAATGTGTTATGTTATTTTAATCTATAACTATCATAATAGAAATAAGTGACTTTTGAACACAAGGGAAAACCTGATCTGATGGCAAGCATCAAGCCCTTAAAATTTAGCCTTGAAAGAAACACGTACCAGTCTCACTTACTCCTTGTTATAGAAAGCAAAAGAGTCTTCCCATCAAAAAGAGTCATAGAAAAACTAAAGCATAGCATCTGTCTACAGCTATCCTTTCAAAAATGTTCAACTGGACAAATGGCAGCTTCTTTGCACCATAGCAAATTTGTATCACATTAATTTGCATCACTGTCCATATGGTACAGAGTTCAACCAAAATTAAAAGTAAAAGCAATGTAATGAAGGAGGAGTTAAAATGAAACCTCATTGACAACCACCAAATTCAATGAAAACCATTCAAAAATCATAACACAACGAAGAAGCATGTTACAAACAGAAGTCCTTCTTGATGACACTGTTGCATGCTTTACTGTTATAATTGATTTCTAACTTTCTATTAGTAGCCTGAGGGCACCCATAGATGTAAATGACCTCTACCATCTTCACATGGGGCCTTCACCACCCACCAGTCTGCACACAGGACCTAGGGTTCCACTTAAACTCGGACCTGGGCCTTCAATCCCTGTCCATACTGTAACAGAAGTACTTGTCTCCAGCTCCAGCAATGTTGTACCTGGCTATGGGCCTTGTTGACCAGACCCTGACCTTTGGACTGTCTTTCTGGCCTGATCTTGGACTTTGTCACTATGTCCCACTTCACAGTGGTTCTTTCAAGGCTTGGCATTCTTGGCATTTATAGTCTGAATTCACTCCAGACTGTAGTGTTCCTGCCCTGCACCAGAAGATTCTGCCAGGGTTAGTTGCAATCTCTCCCTGCCTTGCCTTTCTCCTAAACCCTTACAGAATTAACCAGACATGTCTTTCCTCCAATCTTGTGACACAAACTGAGGCAGCTGTCTCTTTCCTAGAGAAAAGCAACAGGTGCAAGAATTCAAACTATCACAAGAAGTGATTTGCTTAGGTTTGCAGAAAATTAGGATCTAGTGGATCTCAGCTTTTGCACACAAAATAGAGATTTTTTTAACCTGAATCCAAGTTCCCCAAGATTCTGTAACACTTGGCTTCATATACAGAGCAGATACAAGCAAAACATCTAATCCACTTAGACTCAAGTTTAATAATTTTGCCTAAAAATATCATTAAAAATTGCTAGTGCGTTTTTTCAAGGTACATGTATAAACAATATTCTGATAAAGCAAAAAAAGTCCAAACATATCCAAAACATCTTTGTAGTTTCCTGAAGTAATGCACTTACGTGTTCATTTATTTCACAGGGCAATTAAGTTTCTTCAAAAAAACCTGCATGCATAAACTGAAATCCAGAAATCCATATCTTGAGGGGGTAATTGACTTCAAGGAAAGTCATCACTTGACTGCTTCTCAGTGAAGACAACAAAAACAACTTTCTGGCAACCTTGAACAGGGATCCTTCCTCAAAAAAGTAATACCCGTAAGATACTCGAAAATTGGCCAGTTCAAACAGTAACATCCACTACGTTTGTGCTCTTGCATAGAAAAAAGGCATAATCATTACTGAAATGGTAAGATAGTTAAGTCAATATGTACATGACTTTACCTTTCCCTTCATAACAACACAGTCCTCTTGCCTGTTGTTTGCATGGGTGGGTTCTCCACGAAGCCACTTGGTGTAGGTGACAGGTGTTCCATCACTCCATTCAAAATACATCTGAACCTTGAGGTCATTCAACCCAATCCACAGCTCATCAGCTGGCTCTAGAACATACAATTAACAAGACTGATAACAGTACTTTTCTATGATGTGAAATTTTACCTTCATAGAACAGAAAATTATTTACTCTCAGGAAGATTAAAAGGCAGCCACAGGAACTTAAGGCTCCTGTTTCATAAAGAGGGCAGCCTGTTCCTCATATGCCCACTCCAGTCATCAGAAAAGGCCACTCACTGTAGTGGAAATACAACAAGAGCATTTAACTTTGTATAAACCAGTCAAAATACTCTATTCATTGAATTATGTTGCAATATAACTAGGTTAGTTCTTTTTTTCCAGCTCGAAACTCTTGTAACAAGGTATGAATAAACACAAATAAAACACTACCTCCCCTTTTCCTCCTACCTTTAATGTAAGGAGGCAAGAAGTGCCCTCCTTCCTAATGCTTAGACTTACAGTGTTGTCTTTGAGAGATGACAACCAGAGCATTTTCAAGTTTTCCCATTACATTGTTCCTATATCCTATTTCATTTCAGAGCAAAATGAAATTCATGTAGTTCTTGGACTCTTTTCAGCTTACAGTTAATGTAGTTAACAGTTTTGGTCTGGAAGGAAAGTGCAGGACTGATCAAGGATGTTACTTTACAGCAGCTGTTTCTTAGAGGTTTATTCTTCTGTGCTTAAAATCCTCCATCCTAAGACATTGCTATTTATGATGTTCATACCTAGTTTTGTTCTGAACAAACTATTTGAATAAAGAGGATTGAAGATTTTGGCATTTATAATCAGTGTGAACTCCAGTTCAGCTGGGTGACTAAACACCCAAGTGTTTTTTTTTCCAGCCACTTGTAAATAAGCTGTTTCCCACTCTCTAACATGCACTGGGCTACGCTTGTGCCATGTCACATGCTGGACTTCCGTGTAAACATCCAAAATGCACTTCTTTATTCTTCTTCTTCTTCATGTTCCTCTCTAAAGTTCTCTTTTGTGTGTGATGACAACAAAAGCTCAGCTACTATGACAATGTTCATCTCATTTTATTCCTTCTTCCTTTGTTTTATCACAGGACTGCGAATTGTTTGGCACAAAGGCTTTTGTTCTTTCTGTACAGTGCTTATTGCAGCAGAGTTCTGATGCAGGCAAGATTTTCTAGGCACTGCAATATATGGTGTTCTAATCTCAGTGACGAGCAAGGGTAAGCTGATACTGTCAGAAACTGTGTTATTAGGCTTCTTTAGTTGTTCCAGTTTTACTCCTCTGAGAAGAATGCTTTCATAATAGTCTGCTGCAGTGAGTGTGCCTTATGTGAGAAGTCTGGTTTCCTTCAGGACTATTTGCCTTTCAGAAACATTCACTTTTACAAAAACAGTGCAGTGCAGCCGGTTTGGTAAAGTTCTTTGGAGAAGGCATTAAACTATGAAATAAAATACTTTCAAGAAGTAAAGTAAAAATACAAGTAATTTCCTTTAGAGCCTAACTTCTTTCAAACGTACTAATGACTCATCAAGAAGTTGCACCTTTCCTAATCTCCTTTGAAAGAGCAGAAGTTTCATGTTGCTCATGAAAGAACAACAAACTGTTCTTTCAGGAACATGAAGACCAGCACAAGTTGCCATGGAGTCAGCTACCATACCAAACTAAAGCATATCAGCTGTTCTATGCCTGCTACTCCAAGACTGCTCTTATGCTGGAGTTCAAAGCAGCTTACTGCACTTCCAGGGAAGGATAAACTAACTCACACTTACCTGGCACTAAAAGCGGATCAGTTACTGCCAAGAAGCATACCTAGGTGTGAACAAGATCCTCCCATTAAAATGCAGCAACTGATCCTACAGGCAAAATCAGGTTCCTGTAAAGCAACAGCAACTACAAAACTGCCTCAACATCACCATAGTTGCATCTCCCCTAGCGATGCATCTGTAGCCTAACTTGCCTTGCAACAACTGGACTGTGTGCTCAGGAGCTGAGCACTTAAGTGTCATATTTCATTCAGAGCACATCTGAAATCACATACTGGGACATACAGGTTCCTCTTTCAGAAGAAACGTGAGCAGTGTGACTTGAAAAATAAGGACATGGCAGTTCTGCTAACAGGATCCAGGTTTCCAAAACTGTATTTGACCAACAGACTTTGCTTCCCCTCATCCACCTTATCAGACCAACAGTAAAAATCCTTTCAGCTTCTGAAAAGCCTTAAAATTGTTTTATTCTGTATAAAAAGAGGTAGAAGCAGACACTAAGAATCAGGAGTTTGGTGTTGATGCAACTTCCAACATTGACCATAGCTTTTCTGTGACAGAACAATTTATTTGGGTTTTGTGCTCTTATTGTAGGTTTTTTCTATCAAAAAAATCAAAGATTTTTTAAATTTAAAATTCAACCCTTTCTACACTGTGTGATCAGGACAATATTTTTTTTTTTAAACCAGTCTTCTCCTTTCATTAATAAGGCATGCAAAACTCTTTATATTCTTAGTACAAAAATATAAATATAAATATGTTACTGTAAAAAAATACTCACGGTACCCAAGCTGAGAAATAACAAAGCTGTGCTCTTCAACATTATGAATGCTTGCCAGATCCCCATCCTCCTTCCTGCAAGATGTTAAGGCATCTTTCCATATTTTGGGGTCCCTGTGAATTATGTAACAGTGACCAGCATATGACATCCATTGATCAGGACATCTAACAGGCACATTAGTCTCTGAAAAGAAAAATTACCATGGAGAGTTTTAGAATTCTGTTTTTAACTGAATACCGAAAATCACATAAGGAAAGGTTTAACAAAAAAAGAATTATATATTTTCTTCATGAAGAACAGCAGAGCTGAAAAACACATACAGGGATAATAATCTACATGCATGATTAAAGGTTTAAACTTCCAGGTTTTTCTTCAATAACTATGTGGTTGCAAAGAAGTTCTTGCGTCTTTTATGACAAGTCAGAATTAAAAATTACCATAAAACAGTTTTGACTTTTATATGCATCCATACAAACTAAAAGATAAGGGTCGCAGAGCTGTACTTTGTCATTTTCCTACACTTGCGTCAGCATTTATTTTCTTCCTCCATACTGTGTAGCTAGCTATGCGTTAAGAACCTGGGCTTCCAAAACATTATTATGGGGGTAATTTTTTTCCCCAAATGTTAGGCATTTTATGGATTAGCCCTATTTGCTAGAAAAGCGAGGCAAAAAAAACCCTGGTTCTACAGGATCACAAGAGAATCCAAATAAAAATTCTCCTTTTAGGAATCCCTTTTAAAAGCTTCATTAAGAAAATAATATTGTCAAAGTAAATTATTTATGCTTAAAACTTCCTTTAAAGAGTTCAACGGAACAGCACCAGAGCACTGTCAACAATCACATTGCTGTTCAGCAAACAATTGAGCATCAGGAGGAGCACCACCCCAACATATAATAAACAGAGTATCGCTGCTGTAGAAACAAAATCTGATTCTTGCAGAACTTTATTTATAATCAGCAAACACCAACATATAAGGAGAACAAGGCCAGTAGGTTTGCAGAAATTCTCTTGGGGAAGGGGAAGGAATGTGTGTATAACAATGGAGTATATTCCACAGAAATATTTAAGTAGGCATGCAAAGTCATGACCAGTCACGCCCAGGTTGCAACTGCATATCCAATTTCAACTGGAATATGCTGATGATTATTAGATACTTAGTGTCACAGCACTGAGTTTATAGCACAGCTACAAAAAAGCATCTCCTGTTTGCAGACCTGCCTCAAAAAAGCGCTAGCGTGTTCTCATGAAGTTTAAGTAAAACTGAACTTGGTCACTCCCAGACAAGGGGCTCAGAGCTTAGTCAGAGCCCTGTTGACGCAGTCGCAGGAGAGGAAGAACTGGAAGAAAGAGTTGGGGAACCCCAGAAAAACAAGCTCTATGTACATGGTTATTTTGGAAGAAAGGAGTGAGAACAGACGTGGCAAATGCTGTTATAGAGGTAAGTTTGATGGTTCAGACAGCTGCCCAATTTGTCCTATTTCTGGTCTCAGCTTTGAGCATATGCATTTTACAGTGCTTTGCTGTAACACTCGGAGAATTGCTTTGAAAAACAATCTATGTATATATGCCCCTCCAACACACTTCGTGCATCAGCCTGCAAATGGTAAACACTGAATAAAACATGCATCAGCAACTCAGACTTGGCCACAAAGACAGTCACAACGGTGTTTATTCCCCAGGGAGTTTGTGAGAGTCTCTCTTTCTGACCAAAGGAGACTGTGAGACTGTTGCTGCAAACACTGAAGCAGCTATAGCAAGGTGGAAGAACCTTTTGCTTGTAAATCCAGTAACATCAGGGAATTTGTTGCAGGCCACAAAACAAGAAAAGCAGTTGACGGTCTGGTTTCTTTGATGCAAGTCTTATTGAATGACATAGTTAGAGACTTCTCAGTAAGAGAAAGGCCTCAGTTCTTCATTTCCAGCACTCAGAAAAAATGAACTCCATGCTTCCCTGTTGTCCTTTTAAAGAAAGTACATGAGAACCAACGGAAATTACAACAAATATAAGCTGCAACAGAAGAATTCACCTTAATGTGTAAAACATTACCCCAAATGTCAAGCTGATTAATTTACTGTGGAATAGATCAAGATGGAGAAATTTGGTTTGTAAACTTACAATGGTTATTCCTCAAATAGAGAGCAAATACTTTTGTAAATTATAAGCTGGGCTTGCTGAAGTCTGTACATCTCTCAGTGACTGACTTAGGTGTCTAAAAAGGTGAAAGCACTCACAGAAGTTGGTGTTGTGATTGAAATCTCACTCTCTCACACCCATCCTCTGTGGTCTGAGAAGGGAGAGCTCACACAGCAGTAACAAGAGTGACACTAAGAGCATTTATTTCACCTAACTGAATGTTTTACAAAACTTTTGGAAATAATATTTTAAGATCACTACACCTTGTTGAATTGGAATGAAATATATTTTGGCAGTCACTTGGTGTTGGTAGACAGCCAGACAGCCTGCCTTTCCCTAGAAAACTAAGTTAAAAAATAAGCAAGTTTTGCAGGTGAAATTAACAGGTTCCTATCAATCCACTTTGCTGTGGATTTACAGGGAAAATGCTTTGAAGTCCTAAGATTCTACATGACTTAGATGTATACAGTGATGTGGCCCCCTGCCGGAATAAACACTTTTGCTGAAAAAAACAAAACAAAACAAAACAACAACAAAAAAATGTACAGCTGTTAGCTTCATGAAAGTCCTCATCTGCAACAAAAAATAAATATTCTGTAAAATTTTTTCTGTACTTTTTTTCTGGACATAAGCACGGTTAAATTCTGTTGTAAAGTGTTCACCTGTCCCACAGTCCTGATATACTGTTTGGTTAGACTCAGTTGTAACTTCTAGGATTAAAATTTCAAAGGCTTGCCTCTGTGTTTAATATCAAGTGCACAACTAAGTTCATTTATGAATTTGTGATTAATTTCTTTTTTGACTCAGGAGTCCTAGTCAGGAAAATATCATCTGCCATGGGTTTTCCTTTACATCATTAGAAGCTGAGGGCACCTAACACCTTGCATGAACGCATGCTTATTGCTTTTATGACTTCCCTTGATGGGACATGTTGGAAAACATTTTACAAAGTGAATCACTGCCAATCTCTGGTTAATTTGTCACTGTGTTTACTCAGCGATTTCTGTATAATTGAAAACATTTATCTCATTTCTCTTTGTACTGCAAATTACTGGTAAATAGGGACCAGGACCAGGGGCAGAATCAAAAGCTTGTTGCTTAAGAAAGAAATATCCATTAGAGCTCTCAAAACTGAATTTAAATCGAGATAAGATAGCCTGTATTGAATTTATGCAATAGTGTATTTATAGGATTCAGTGTTTAAGAACTAACGTTCTCAAATCTGGGAATCTGAACAGTAGCCAACTGAACAATCTAAGACAACCTACACAAATTAAACTGTCTGGCTACCAGCAGTATATATATGCTAACACTAACAAAACTTTACATCTTAATTCACAAAATAATTAAAATATGCACTGAAGTCCTCAGCTAAGGCAACAAATATCCTTTATGTCAAAACTGATGTATTAATTTAATTATTAAATATTTATTTCAATATTCAGTTAATGAGACACTAGTTAATTCTTGTGGTTTTCTTCTTTTACAAATAAAAGAAAACAAATCAGGCAGAAGTCTCTGTCCTAAGTGATTTTGACTGGGCTGGTTATGTATTGACAAAACAGGAAAAAATATTATAAAACATGGGGTTTAAGCCAAGTATAAACCGCTGAGTTTTCCAAACATCTGGTTTGCCAATAATGCATATGAACAAGCGAACTGGAAATCTAGTAATGGTTTAGCTTTCTGCTTCTAAAACCTATACAAAATAAACATCCGTGGATATAAGAGAGACCTGTATGTCCTCAAAAGAGAAAAAAACCAACATAGAAAGAACAGAAAGAAGGAGTAATGAAACAAAGGAATAAGTTGCAAGCTTTTTATAGTACACAGGGTCATAACAAGAAAACAGGCCCAAATAAAGCTGTGGAAACCTATCCCTGTTTTATCTCTCCTATATACATTAAGCAAGTACCAGAAGTAAATTTATTCTGAAAAGTGTCTGTATATATATATAATTTAAATAATTTCAGAAATAAGTGAAATTTTTTTTATATATACATATAAATTTCCGTCTCTCTCTAAAAGTATATTTATAAAATAGACAAAAATTATCTAACTCACTCAAAAGAATTTTTTAAAATTCCTCTAGTCCAGTACCAACTTACACTGGCAAACTACTCTATTTCATAAGTAGCAAAAATGACAGCAAGAAGTAATAGATTCACTTCACTGAATACACAGGGCTTTAGATAATTACATCTTTTTTTAAACATTAAATTATTTCTCTTTTTATCTTGCTAACAGAATCTGACAGTTCTGCTTGGAAAAGAGAACTCCACTATTTCTGCAATTTAGAACTTGAAGCTACTGAAGAAAAAGTACTACACAGGAAGTAGGGAGGTCAGAAGAAAAAGGAAGTACACACTGTTCACTTTTACAGGGAATCTTGGTCAAGCCACAGCCTGCAGAGACCTTTGCTTGGTCTTACCATGTGCAATAGCAAATAGCTACTAGAATTACAGAGCAAAAAAATGGTCATGAATAATTTGTTGAGGGTTTATTACCAAACCTACCTGTAGGAATAATGAAAGATTCTAAAGTGGCATTGCCTCGTTTACAAATATAGCCAAGTTTCTGGTTGCATTCCCTATTCTCCCACTTAGCACCTTTGCCAGGATTCAGTGCTGCACAGATCTTTCCAGGTTCTGGAGAAGGATGTCCTTAAAAACAAAAACAAAAACAAAAAACCTCTCACCTACAAAGTATAAGCACATCATGATCACCCTCCCAATTACTATCATGTTCTAATCTGTTCCATGCTTTGATTATAAGACACATTAACACAAAGACAGTTGTGATTGTCCACAATCCTTTAGACTGAATGAAGCAGTTCATTGCCTAAAAAGCCATTTTTTCACAGCAACCACAAGTTGGGGTATTTACTCAGTTCACATTTTAACAGCCTCTTCATAGATTCAGATTCTTGATGGAAGGTATTACAATGCACCTATTTGCTTTGTTTGGGTTTCTTCCCAAAACTAAACTCCAGAGCACAATTTTTACATGCAAAAAAACTGTTCAGTAAGCTAGTCAAATTCTGTATAACAGTAAAGACAGAAAAATAATAACTATTCTGCTAATGTGAATGTCTTCTCTACTTGTCTAAACAATATGAAAATAGCAGGATATTTAGATACTTTCAGCTGAAGATTAGCATTAACACTAAACAGAAACACATAGAAGAAAAGTAGAACCTGTAGAACTAAACAAATTTCACCCAGCAAAAAGCTGGATGAACTTTTCAAGGTCTGGTCTAATATGATTAAACTTAACATGAACTTTTTTCCATATCTAAACGCATGCCACTATGCTACATAGCAAGCGTCAATGTTGCTCAGAAATTAACACAGCAAAACTATTTTTTTTTAGTGTGCAAGATTGTTCACTGAGAATTGTCTTACATCACTGTGATTTCATTACTTTAGATTACAGTTAGCTTTACATTTCCATTCATGTTATATCTTTTTCTTACAGGAGAAAAAGTTATGTTCATTAAAAAATACAAATTTAAATTGCTTTAATGCACAAAAAATAAAGTTCAGCTGTTGACAGTGAGCTCTCCCAAATGCCTAGCCAGCATAATTTTCATTTAAGTGTTGATAAATTAGTTCCTATGTTTTTCTGTTATTTACTTAGAGTTAGTGAGCTGGAAGAACACGAAGCTTCCACAAATTCTTTAAAAATATACATTGGCAGAACAGCCAGCACTTGAACATCCAGAGTAATAGGGATGAGATAGAAGTAGGCTTGCCAAAGTAAAATCATGAAGGAGATGATAGCATAAATAAAAATATCTTATGTGAATTTAAGAGTATTATCTTTGAATGAAATTAAGGAACATAAGGAGTTAATGATAAATGAAGCCCATTTTGGTTACACCAAACCCCATCCAATTCTTTACCTGACAACTGAGAGTTGTCTGCAGCTTCTACAACTTTGAACAGCTTCCCCTTATTGCTTTGGTTCCACCTCACAATCAGTTTTCCCACTTCATTACATGCAGATCCTCCTCAGAGCACTTGCATGAGAGACCTATAAATACCTTCACAGCAACTCGCAGTTCAGCCCATCTGTTTGCCTTGTGTGCTCACCCCCTTGGGCATATTACTGTCATTGGGAGGCTAATCCCAAAAGAAAATGAAAATCTAATCTCTAAGGAAATAATCAAAACTAATTGGAAAAGAATTTAAAAAAAAAAAAAAGCAACAAACAAACCATTCACTGACCAGTCTAATCTCACAAGTAAAGACACCTAGAGCATCAGCTTTACTCCCCTTTACTCAGCAGTGGTGAGGCCATAGCTTGAGTACTGTTTTGGGTGACACTGCATAAGAGACATTGAGGTGTTGGATCAGGTCCAGAAAAGAGCAACAAATCTGGTGGAGGGTCTGGGGAACATGTCTTATGAGGAGCAGCCGAGGGAACTGTGATTGTTTAGCCTGGAGAAGAGGAGGCTGAGGGGTGACCTGCAGTTATTTTAAAAGAATACCTGAAAGGTGATTGTAAGGAGGCAGGTGTGGGCTTCTTCTTACAAGCCACGACTGACAGGACAAGAGGAAATGGTATTAAGTTACACCAGGGGAGGTTTAGGTTTGACATTATGAAAAACTTCAACACTAAAAGGGTTATCAAGGACAGGAGTGGTTGAATCACCATCCCTGAATGTATATACAAGCCATCTAGATAGGATGCTCAGGGATACAGTATAGAACTGGCCTGGTAGAGATAAACAATGATTGGACTCAATGATCTTAAAGGTCCTTTCCAACCATAGTGATTCTATGATTCTGTGAAGCGTTCATCTCTTCTCCCAAGTAACTAGTGACAGGATGAGAGGAAATGGGCTTAAGTTATACCAAGGGAGGTATTAGGAAGAATTTCTTTACTGAAAGAGTGGTGAAGCATTGGAACAGGCTGCCGAGGGAGGTGGTGGAGTCACCATCTCTGTACGTGTTCAAAAAGCGTGTGGATGTGGCACTTCAGGACATGGTTTAGTGGTCATGGTAGTGTTGGGCTGATGGTTGGACTTGATCTTGGATGTCTTTTCCAACCTTAATAATTCTATGATTCTATATTCATATAGAAATAAAGTAAATTAAGAAAACATACAAATGAAGTGTAAGCAGATGGCTTTTAGAACTTTTCTCTGGATTTCAAGGCTACCATTTCTATCGTGAATAATAAATTAAATCCAGTGTGTACTCCTAGCATAAGGAACATTACTCACAGTGTTCATAGCCACAGTCAGTCAGAAGCTTTCAATGTCAAAACAAGCTCAATAATTGCAGAACAGAGTACTAGAAAAGAAATGTTACAAAATGACCAAATTTTTACCTTTTAAACTGAGTAGCAACATATTTCACCTTACCTGGAGCCCAGTTTAAGTATCGAAATGGAGCACCACCAACCCATTGCCATCCGCTGTTGAAATTCAAACTGTTAAGACCAAGCCAGAGAGCAGAACTCAGTCTGCCAGTCAAACCTAGGTGACAGAGACAAAGAGAGATACTGTACATGCAAGGGAAAAGTAAAAGCTTTCTCAAAGCTTGAGAGCTGGATTCTAGCTAAATAATCAGTTTCTCCTTTTTCCCCAATACAAGTTTAACATCTTTTAACCTTTTAGTTAAGGTGACTATGCTAAATGCACAAAACATGTCATCTTACACGTTTTCACATTTTAAGGTGTGAAGAATTTACAAATATTTTTTTCCTAGAATTATGAAAGATTAAATTGATAAAGTTGCATAAAAGATCACAAAACCAAGAATCAGTTTTCTGAAATTAAACCCAAATACTTTCCTATTGTGTATTTTCTCTTCCAAGAAAATCAACAAGTGAGTTTCAAATTTACAAAATGTTGTAAATTAAAAAAAAAGTTAGCATTTTATCAAACTACATTAAAATGTGATCATTCCAAATATCACCACTGTAACAGCACATCTTTTACATTTTTCAGACTTCTCTGATTTCATTTCTTCAGCCAATGACAAGTCAGGCTTCCAAAACCAGTCAGAACTTATTGCTCTAGTTCTGAAAAGCACCTTGAAATCCTATGTTTACATAT